AAAAATGGTGCTAGCTCACTTTGTTCGCGTAACTCCCGTTGTTACCACTTTTTCAATGTGAGTGGTTATCAATTTGACAGGATCAACAGGAGGTTTGCACGCAATGAAGACCACTTGAGATACCATCAATGATGAAACACACATAGGATACGGCAGGCCCACCACATGGGGTATTCGTCTGACAATTCACTGGAAATGAGTAAATGCGTGTGATACAAAAGAAAGATGCGGAGATCGTATACCAAAGCGAGGTTCGTGCCGCGGGCGTTTCATTGCAGCAACTTCCTTTGCAATTTGCTTTTCCACATCTAACTCAGATTCTTCATCAGAAGCGCTACCATCATCAGACGGTGGTCTTCCATCTGGGACAGGCCATATTTCGGCGGCAACCTGATCTCAATCAGCATATAGCCTGATGAGACGGGCGGGTGAGCCTTGGTTTCCTCACCGATTCAAATAGATCATAAAGCTCGCCGACTGTTTGCTTTTCTTTCCCTTTCACGCAGCTTGCCCAGACCCCAGGCCCGTCGATAGCTCTCCTCGTCCATGTCGGAGTGCCGTCCTGAGAAGCATGTATAATCAGTATATTTGCGGGTTGCGCAGAGAGAAAAAGTTACAGATCGGTACTTGCGTTTCCGAGGCTTATCTCTCCGATTATCTGCCATATCCCTCTGTCTTATTTTTGGCGAGTGAGTCTTTTGAGAGCTTCCGAGGACGACGAGTATTGACCAGGTTTTGACTCTTCTTCGCGGTGTTCCTAATTAGGGTTGGCGGCGACTATCTTCCTTCAAAACCTTGATCTACTTACAGGAGACCAATTGCAAGTGGGTTGACCCGGAACAAGGTGGATCTCGTGCGTATATCGTATGGGACGGATTACATTATTGAGCTATCTGTGGTGTCAGTGGGAGTCAGTATAGTACACCGACAACCATTTTCCTGGATTCCCCAGTTTGAGGGGCTTCCAGCACGAAAATCCAGTAAACCAGCAAATTAATTGAGATATAAATATGTGAAACGGAATACAGTAGAGAATAATCCCATCCATATCCAAAATGCTGCCGGACGTTTATCGTGGCAGATGTTGGAATTAATCCATAAAATCCATTCTAGTTTTCATCAGTCGTCTTCATCCTCGTCTTCATCCTCATCTTTATGCTCTCCGCCTGTCCACTTACGCTCCCACAGCGGCGGAGGAGCATCAGGATCCTGAGATAATAGAGGGTGTCCATCTGGTAGAACACTGCGAGCCCCGCGTAATCGCTGCAGGAACGCCTCACGTTCTAGAAGAAGCTCATTGATGTAATCGATGGCTTTATAAGCACGCAAAAGTCAGAAGAGTGCACCAAAAAGCGAATAAGTTTACTGACTTTTGGCGAGAACTACATTTTCGCTCCTTGGTCCAGATCGACCATCAACCTTTTCTCCATCATCAGCTGAAGCCTTGGCTTTTCCCTTCCTTCGTCCTTTGCCCTTTCCGTTTTCAAGGCTTTCACCTTCTTCAGCATGTATAGCTTCCCTCAAGGAAGGAACAGTCTCGCATAATGCTTCATAACCTCTCCTGATATTTGCTCTCCGTTTTTGCTCTGACTGGATATGGTTGGCTTTTTTTTGTGAAGGGGAGAGTAGAGCCGTTTTAGGCAGGATATCTATTGCGGAGTTCTGTCGGGAGGAACTAGGAGTTGCCCGCTGCCGTTTACTGGAAGGTAGGGGCTCGGGTGGCGAGGGCCGCTTTGATGATGAAGACACAGGTGTTGAAATACCATTGGACGACGACGATGAAATAGATGTGGGTATGTCTACAGGCGAAATTCTTGAAGACGAGTGCGATCCATGGCCGTGAGCAGAAGCTTTAGCGCGAGTGCCGGCTGAAACAGATGTGGAATCGACGGAACGCCGAAGAGGGGGCGCATGTTTTCGAGAGCGGGAACTTGGGCGCTGAGAATGAGACGGAAGTTGATTCGGCGGGGTAGATCCGTTGGTTTCTGTATCTGGAGATTGATTTTGGCGGGTAGAGTATAAGAACGAGAATGGATGGCTGTCTGCCTGCAATTGCCGGTTTACTGGAGAGGCCAAAGTCTCCCTGGGCGACTGAGGACCTAATGGATATTTCCATCTGTCTGCGTCAAGCGACATAAGATCTTTGGTTGCTTTGGCAAGAGCCTCTCGTCCGCGCGCGGGAGGCATATGCTCATGCGATATCTCAAGTTGCATGTTCCATTCGGGCGAGAAATCTGTTGTGTCAAGCGCAGTCAAGAAAGATTGAAAAGCATGGGCTTCAGTGGGTGTCAAGAGTGACATTGTGCGGGAACGGATGTATACTGTTGCTACAAGATGTAGCAAAGGAAGAAAGGATGCAGCGGAAGGCCAGCCAGCTTTAGATGGTTGCGTTGGGTAGGCTGGTGGCTGCTCCCAGCCCGGCTGATCCTGGATTTCTGTGACCTGTGGCTGTGCCTTCCCCACAATGTGAAGCAACTCTTTTAGGCAACTGTCCTGTGATCGATCCACTTTGTCAGTCCTCTGACTTAGCTAAGCAATTTATCGTACTTAGTAGATTAAGTCTTTAATTTACTGACCCCAGTGTCAGGACCTCATTTACAGTCGGTACTTACAGATGAATGTTGTCGGGTTCCAGGAAATTTAAATCAGAACGACATCAGAATGGCCTGATTCTCTTACCTCGTGCCACGAACGCATGTGATTGTTTACTGGGTTGACGCCCGCTTCTCTGAGACCGGGAACCATGCACTTCCAGATCCATTGCATGTGCGAGTCAGATTGTCTCGTTACTGTCTCGAGTAAAGATGTATCTATAATCTATCAATGGTACCTAGTATCGCAGGACCACAGGTTTTGTTCCAAGTCGCATCTCCCCACCGGATGCTTGTGCTGAATTTATTTGCATCCACGAATGCATCTAGCGAACATATCCCGTAAGACCTGTCACGCTGTGTCTTACCACATATTGACAGTGGGTAGGTAGCATCATTCAGCAATAATCGGATTTGAGGACCGTTGAAGCTGTAACGAATGTAGTTGATAACCCTGAAAGCAAATAGCAGAGAAAAAATACTGACGACTTCGAACAAGTGAACCTCTCCCAAATCAATTTGGCTGCGAAAGGTACCTGACTCGATGTACGCCATTTTCGATTGGGATCGATTGGTCCTGTCGGGGGGAGAGGTTTCTCATCCCTACAGAGTCAAGAAGCGAAGTAAACGCAAATGTTAATGATGTACTGTTTGTGCCGGCTGCAGGTCCCACCTAGCGAGCCCTAAAGCTGTCAAGACCAGATCGATTGTCGTATCGTGACCAAACTCCAAATACAAAGCATCCGCGTCGCCAGTCGAGTTCTTGAACCTAGATGATTCGACAATTCTTGGTCTCACCTCCTGAACTTGTTACTGGGACCAGAACTTACCGATCAATGAGTTGATTGACATACAAGGAACCGAGTACTGGGCCCATATTTCCAGGTAAGCCGTATCCAAATGCGCCGTCCATAAGCAGATCTAGCTCATATCTGTCGAAAAATTCTCTAATCAGGGGCAGAGGGGGGGTTACAAGGTAAAACTTACTCGAAGGCCTGAAGCTCTTGGGGCGTGAACACGTCGCACCAGGGGGAAACCCCAGAAGCTGCAAAGTCGTAAGCACATGCATACAATGCTCCATGTGTATCATCATCCGTTAGCCCAACACCGGCAAGAAGCTTGTTCAATCGTCTAGTGATCGGCGGAAGATATGTTTTGCCCCAAATCACAGTAGCCTACAAGATTGTAAGAAAAGCGGCCATCAGTTGGTGTGATTAGAATGAAAACGAGAATAGTTAACATTGTTGCCATAGTTGTAGTCCCAGCGAACACATGTGTCCATAGGCGTGATCCACGACACGGTGCGACTATCTTCGGGCATCGTGGTAAAGTTGACGTGTGGATATCGACCAAAGTATCCCAACGCAAACCACTGTGCTGATTCGATAACTCGATCCTGGTCGCCAGCGAGGATGTTGTTCGTGTGGAGATGGGGGTATTTAAGCAAAAAGCTGGAGGAGGTTTTGAAAATATTCTTGATACCTTCGAATGTGATGAACTCACTCAACACCATGTGTGAACAGTTCTTTTCTTCCTGGTGCAGTCAAATTGTCGTGCCCAAGCTCTGTTTCATAGCCATGCTTGAGAAATTGCAAGCTTGGGGGCAAATCCGCCTTCCGAAGGACGTCCACTGCTTTCCCAAGCTTTAGAGCCAAGTTCTGAATAAAAACCAATTCGTTGGCCAAAGGCCAACGTGATCCGTGTCGTTGCATCTGAGGCGAAAAGTCAAGTACCAGATCCATATAGATCGGGACACAAAATACTCACTAGTATCACTTGATCGACAGAGCAATCAGCTGGGAGGTTGCTCAATATATTTTCAAACGGTGGAGCTTTATGATAGGGCGACAAATTGCCCAACCTATCCAACACATCGACTGACCCCAGCGAAGGCATTGAATAGGCCAGTGCCGCGAAAACAGAAAGGGCTGCACGCGATATTTTGAACAACATCTTCCAGCAATGTTCTCAGAGAGCTCTGCAGTAGAGTAGCGGCTGGGTGGGTGTACAGCATGAGAACACAATGTGGCTCTTATATGTGACCAGTCGCTTACATTCCACTAGTAAAGACCCGCTGTCAAGCTTGTCAAAAACGATAACAGTAATGGCACTGTGTCGTGTGGTACACAGAGTCACAGTGCCTCAAAGGCCTCAACATTCAACAGCGATTCTGAAAAAGAGAATGAGTAGTCCATTAGAGATGAAGACATGAAAGCCATGAGGGGTTTCGCCATTGCCGCACTTCTCGCTTGCTGGGGATATACAGTCACAGAAATGAGCAAGTGCCAAGAATTGAATGTCCCCAAAGACGAGCACTGACTGCAAAGGAAATTGCCTTTTTTGGGTGTATACGTTCATCAATCACTTCGCCTTTCCCCGCCCCTATTGTACTGCCAAAAGTGAAAAAGATGACAAGAGGGGGATTCGAACCCCCGCCTGGAAACCCAGATGAGAACCCGCAATACGGGCAAGCTTTCGCTTGAGTCACACGCCTTGGACCGCTCGGCCATCTTGCCGCGATGAATGAGGGTCCTGCGAATCAAAGATAACCAGAGTCGTTGCAGAAAGTGGGTCTTCATCAACGCCGCACCTGCATTGGATATGCTGTGGGTCTTGATGTGCGCAATTTTTGAAACCAACGTCATCTTTGGTGAAGGTCCTTCGAGAGCCATTGTGGGTCTGGCTTGAAGATGATAGCGAACCAAAGACCTTGAGGTCCGGCAGCGCAAGGAAGGGGATTTTTCTGACTGCGGAAAAGAGCCCTATTCTGCTTTAGAAGATGGGTTAGCAGGATGAATCTCCTGAGGGATACGAACATCGACAAAAAAAATGCGGTTAGGAGAAGAGATGGAATTTTTGGACCACCTATTGGCAAACATGTTCAGGTAGTAAGCACCGCCAAGAGGACATAATTGCAAATGCAAGAGATCAAGAGATCACAGGTCATGGTTGACAGGATCATGACCATCCCCACCGTATATCCAATCTATTGTTCGACAATTGCAATGATATTCATGCCTACTCATGTCAATATTCTATGTGCGTTGATGTATAGCTCACCATCAGACCGTCATTATTGTAACGCAAAACAACGCGTGAGTGCAAGCTGATTAGATTTAATAGACGCGTTTTGAAAATTCTCAATGCACCAGGATTAAATAGTCCCACTTTAGGAGGAATCTTTCAGCTCGAATCGATAGCTAGATGCTAGCAGTCAAGCCAATCAATGGGCTGGGTTGACAATTTTCTTCAAAGTGACGTGTAAGTCTGGGCGAAACTGAAGTTTCAAAACACTTGACGTGTTAATGATTGATTGAAAATTCCCTGTTCATTCCTTGGAGACGATATTCGTTGAGCTTATATTATATGAGCTGCCTTTGTTTTGCACGATATACACAGATATATATTCGCAAGTCTGTTAGCTCGAGTCATTGAAAGACCAGTCTAGAGGTGAATGTTGACTAAACGCAACTAGCCAAGAATGAGATGCATGCCCACCTGTCTAAGGTCTAATTCCCAGCTTGTGGTATATCATTGGTCCTCGTATCCTTGAACCTCTCTCCGGGGACGTTTTGGCACTAAATCATCCCAATTAAATATCAGCGTAATTACGTGCTTGAAAGTTGCGAAGTTGGATCAACCTACCGGGATAGGATGTAGGAATGGGGTCAGGGGTGGTGTAGCCAAAATAACGTCTTCTAATTGGAGGAATACCGAGCGCAAGTGCAGGACCAGCAAGACCTAGCGCACATGAGAAGAATATGACAGGTTGCTCGTGCGCGAGATATTGCTTAGTATCACGTCGTGAGATTGCTTAGAATACATATATTTGGTGTGCATTACTTACGAGGTATCGATAACCTGTCCGAAAAGGTGAAACAATGGAAGCCATGGATGTAGATGCCTTGTAATGAGTTGGGAGTGCAGCCTTGTGCGGAAGGGCGCTGCTTGTATGTGGTTGTGTTTGGCAGCAGCCTTGAAAATAAGCATGAACAAACAACGTTGGTCACGGTTTCTATGTATAAATGAATGAATTTATTTGGCCAACTACGTCGCTAAATACAACTCAGGTACGATATACCTCGTTGGCTCATAAAGAAGCAGACAAATAATGAAATTTATAGCGATTGGATGTTGTTTCGCACAGAAGTCACGTGAACCTCTTCTCCCCACTATTTCAAGTCATTTCAAATGCATATTATAAGGCGCTGTTATAAGCAACGTTTAAACCGTGTAACAAATGATAAATTCCTCTTGACAAAGCTGCAGAGAAATATCCTAGTCCCATATAACCAAAAAGATACCTTCCGCGTGCTGCCATTCCGATTACGCTGCCGATAAGAGAGTCGTTTAAGATTGATCCCTCACGAAAAACGACGAAAGCGAGTGCTACAGATCTCGAATGCCGATGGATGTGTCGCGAGTGACCGAGCTTCCTGTGAGAGCCTCGAGCTCGTGATGTCTTGCGAAATGACAGCTGAGATTATCCGTGGTATCAACGTCATCTGGGTTGTTCTCGTCGTCATATATGTCCGAGTAAGATGAAGCGGAAGAATTATCATCATCAAAGAATGAAGCCCCGGGGGAGTCTACGGACGTTGATGCATCGGACGACTGTGAGCGATTATGTGGCGATTCCTCACGACAGTCTGAGGGACGATCGCTCTGGGATTTCCAAACAGCAAGAAGCGGCGCTTCATCCGTGTTGAGTGGCTTTCGGGGCGGTTCCGTGCGTAAAGAGGTTTCAGGTTGGGCATATGCACGCGGGCATTGGATGTCAACGCTGTTCGTGGAAGGGTAGGATGGTATCTGCACATGCTGTTCGTTTGCCGGTGACAAGGGAAAGTTCGACTGGTGCAGTGGTGAATGAAGCGGTAGCGGAGCAAAACCCGCACGACGGAAGGGTGGAGTACTGGAAGACGGTCCGCGCGATGCCAACCGTCCGCGGGCATGAAACGATGCTCTTAACGCTGCAGCACTCGAACTCCCTGTTTTCTGAGATATCGTTACAAGAACGGAGCCTAGTTGAGAGGGTTGGTTGCGATGTGCCTCGCTGACGAGTGTTCGAGGGCCTTTGTTAACAGGGACAGCATTGCCTCTACGGGTGAAAATTGGAACGGCGGAAGGCTTGATATTTGCTCGCGATCCAGATTCGGGATCTTGAACAACATACTTGACAGGGAAATACACTTTGGAAAAGCGGGGATATCGAGAGTTATCACCAGCTGTTGCACGCTGTCCCGCTGTGACATACTTTGCTGAACCGCTGCGAAGAAGGCTGCGACCACGGCGAACACCATTGCTGGAACCACTAGCGAGATAGAGCACTTTATGTGTCCGGGTAGCAGAGGTTGGGGAAGGTAGGTCTAAGGTAACGTTTGTTCGTCGAAATGAGTGTGTAAAGGAGCGTAAAAGTGTGGCAACAAACAGCCATATGGCGTGCAGCAGGCCGGGGGACTGTTGTTGATCATGGGATTGAGACATGGCGAACTAGTAACGACTGTGATGATCTTGAACAAGGAGCAGTAGGACCACAAATTGCTTATGGGCCGATTATATGGTGTGCTTTCGATTTGAGGCTGACGTCGCACAACACGATACTTGTCAGCCGCACTTTCGAAGAATCAAACTCACTGTGATATGCATATATTTCCATCGATAGACCTTGTTTTGTGTTTTACGACGCAATGAAGATAAACTGGATCCTAAGAAAACTTAGCCTTTGGGTTTTGCGGGCACAGGCATAAAAAACGACGAGAACATTATCATGAGAAAAATAAAAGAGGCTTGGGTACATGTTATATGCCTTGAAACTTTACCGTTCGTGTCCTTGGAAAAGAAAACCTTGTTATGATTGCAGTGGAAAGATACAGATCATGATTAAGTCCTCGATGGTGTCACTTGGGCGTCACAGTAACTTTTCATATTTTTGCGGAGAATTGGTATGAATTATGTATGTACCTCATTTTGCTCCATTCATGACACTGTCACCGACGCTGGTGACACATTTGAGAATCCAGAACCAATAATGACAGCGTCGGGGGTCGGGTATAGCGGAAGGAAAAGGCTGGAAACAGAATTCTCGATAATTCTTTGTAGCCGTCACACAGTTAGCGTCACAATTTCCACACTTGCACACGATGGCGCTCGCCCTGGATGTGCACGATATAAAATTCTCCGGTTTACTCATGACTGAGACGATCTCGTCTCATCATTATAAAAAGTCTCCAGTTATACTTCGCCCTTCTGAATGTCCAGACCTGATGGGGATCTATCCTTGGTTGAACATCCTGCGTCGGCTAAGGAATCCGGATCTCATCTAAACGAGCCTCATGCTATGGACCAGTCTCAACCCCCGGACGACATAATGGCTCAGACGGTCGATGTGCTGAGCAAGTCCCAGTCCATCAGCTCAGGCTTTTTCTCTGAGGCAGGCCTGAGCTATTCTTCCAGCTCGTCTGGAGAGGTAAACTAGTGCTGCAATCCAAATGGCTGAATTGACTGACCATGATCACCAGATTGTTGGCACTCCTTTTGATACCGGGTCTCGTCGATTTGAATACCCATTTCCAGATGGACAGACACCTTCCAGTGAAGCTTTCTCTCCACTCTCGTCCTCAATCACCAGCGCAGCTTCCTCGCTTCCAAGTTCGCCACCATGGCCATACCACGTATCAAAGTCATTCCCGTTGAGTGCTCCTCCTGCGTCCAAGATCAAGGCGCATCCAAAGTTACGAACACCAAGCGCACGGGAACCGCCAGTCCCACCAGGACTCGTGAAGAAACGCAACCGCATGAGCGCAGAACTGCAACGGCACTCCAGCGATGAAGGGCAGCAGAGTGATGCTAGCGAAGTTGTCGAAAGAGGTCGAAAGTCTTCCCGATTGAGCGCCAGAATACAGGGGATGACGGCGTACAAAGACACGGACGCACAGCAAAACTTGCCAGTAGCAACAGAACTGGGGGATTCTCCCCAAGACAACTCCGTTGAATTATCTGTGACACAAGGTGATTCTGGAGGAGACCATCGTCCTGTGAGTTCATGTCTCGTCTTTATTTGATATTTGAGCCAGATATTGGGGCGGAGTTTTCATAATGATTTTCCATTTCCTCGCTATCATTCAGCCTACTATTTATTCACAAACTAAAACTGGTATATCCAGCTTCGACGAGAGAAAGATCATCCCCCGCAAAAGTCCTCTGTCAGGGTAATGATCAGGATATTAGCTAGTCGAAGTAAGTGTCCACCACTCAATTTTCATTATAAACTGTTTACACTGGCTAGTTTTCAATTGGTTTTTGAGGTTCTTTTTTGGGTATTGAGGTTTTTGGGGGTACGCAAGGCAGGCCGGGAGCCTCTTTTGTGCGTGATGATTTTCTTTTTCTTTTTCATCGGGTTTTATGGCGCGACACACGGGCACAGGCATGTAAAACCTCCTCACATTCCGTACGACACTTTTCCCTTGTTACCCCTCCATGATCGGAGACACTCTTATGCATCACATTCAACTTGTTT